GATCTCTTCCAGTCAGTTGGCCACAAAAATATGCTTAGACAATTCATAACAAAAAAAGGATGGCTTGAGAGTTAATTTCTCCCTACCCCCAGTTAGAAAATGTTCACCATGGAAAACTTAAAGACTATTCTTTCAAGTGAAAATAAGTAAAGGAAAAATCATCTGGAAAATTACCACTTGGAGAAAAATCTAGTAAAGTCTTAAATATATATGTGTCTATATAGCTTTTCTACAGGACTGATGATTACATGTTATTGTTGTTGATTGCCATCGAGTTGAGCACTCATAGTGACCCTATGAACAAAAGACGTGAAAATTTTCTCTAATTATAGTAATTTCTCAAAGATCATAGAGTTTCCAGAGGTATATTGTTTAGGAAGTGGATTTCACTCCAGTAAGCAAGGAGTATTTCCCTTTCCCAATATTAAAGGTCAAGAGAAGTTACTCTCTGTGCATGAAATGTCAAAAACAGGAGTGCTTCTGGGTGGGAATTTGAAGAGTTTTAGAGTTTTACTTTTTCCCATCACGGAATGTGCCAACAGGCCATACCCCTTTTATATGTTACTAGGCATTGTAAAGTCAATTATTCCTCACAGCCATCTGCAAACAACAAAGCAAAACACGGCCCAAGCTTGTACCACCCTCATCATCTCTTAGGTGCATAAACCCTTTTTTGCAGTCACTGTGTCCATCTCTCTCCTTAAGAATCATCCTTTTTTTACCTCTTCCTCTACCAAGCATGTGTTTCTCAAGTGACTGGCTTCTGCTGATAACATGTCCAGAGGATGCAAGATGAAGTCTTGCCCTCTTCTCTTTTAAGGAGCACTCTGGCCACACTTCTTCCAAGGGCTTTTGTTTGTTTGTTCTTTTGGCAGTCTGGATATAAACAGTATTCCGCACCATCATCATAGTAAAATCCGTCAATCCTTCCATCTTCCTTATTCATACTCCAACTTTCAAATGCATACGAGACAATTAAAAAAATAAATAAAAGCCATGGCTTTGGTCAAGAAAATGTGTCCTCAAAAGGACACCCTTGCTCTTTAGCACTTGTATTCAGTTCAAAAAGTCCTCCACCCGGGGGCTGGATGAGGGAGACAGAGTTGACAGGAAGGAAGGTAAAGTAAGTGGATGTTCATGAGCAGCCATCACTGCCCAACAAAAGCACTTTTGCAAAATAAAAAAATTGTCGCAAGAAGCTGCACTGCAATCCCAGAGATGCATGGTTCGAATCCACCAGATGCTCTGCCGGGAAAGGAGGGACAAGCTCCTCCTGTACCAGTCAGATCTGATCTGACGGTACACAGACACACACAAAAAAAATTAAAAAAAAAAATTTGTCACTCTTAGTAGAACATGGCTGAGGGGTAGGTCGGCTCCTGCAGGCTCCAGGTGGGCATGGTGGTGCCAGGATACCTGTCTTGCCAAGTGGAGGGAGGGCTCAATTTTGGCCCCACTGTCCCCTCCCACACATAGGGCTGGGCCACTGGCAGTCCAGGCAGGCAGAGAGACCATCTGACTGGGGAAAAAGAAGGAAGGACAATGTGGGAAGGTAGAAAACACAAGTCGCCTGCTGCTTTCCTACGAAGAGGGTTTACGCGTCATTGCTTGGTTTGGTTTTGGTTTTCAGAACTAGAGCTCACATACACACTTTCTTTTCCTAGATAGCAGTGAATGCTCCAGCCAACCTTGTCAGAATGGTGGGACATGTGTAGAAGGAGTCAACCAACACAAGTGTATTTGTCCACCAGGAAGCTCTGGGAGCCACTGTCAGCATCAGGCCCAGACTGGTATGTAGCTGTGGGGTCAGGGGGTAGGTGAAGACATTGTGCAGCAGAGTCCAGACTCACCTAAATGCAGAAATACGGACAGCTCAATTCTTCACTCTGCTTGATGATGTACATCATTTGAAATAGAGTTCAGCATTTTTGTGTTACTAGGATATTATTTTTTCTTATGGAAGAAAGTGTAAATGGAAGGACTATGTCTCAACCTAAGACCTCCCCAAATTCTTGGGGAATTCGGCCCAAAAAGTTTCACTGCTTCCATCTTTACTTGGTCAGCATTCAAAACAGCCGTTAAAACAGCCTCTTCTTTCCGATATTTCCATCAAGTTCTGCAAAGTCACTACACATTGACACCGGCCAAAGTGTTTCAAGAACTGGATAACGGGATGGACTGTGAGGTTTTCATCCACACACTGAGTCCCCATGTATTCCCAGCTGAAGAAGCCCCACCGGAGCTGGCTGTGTCCGTGAGGAGAGGACCCCATGGTAGGGTGTCTACCGGACAGACAGGTTACACTAGTTACACTATGTTGTAACTAATTTTTTTTTCCTATGAAAATTGTGAAAGAAAAATATCCCATTTCTTTGAAAACAAACAAATAAAACCCCAAACTGTCCTGTTTGGTTGTCCTTAGTTTCCTACAGAATCTCGGAGAAGAGGCTTGCTGATATTTAGGGAAATGCACGGAGAACAAGGGTGCTTGGGTGGCCTAGTGCTAAAGAGCTGCACTGCCAACCCAGGCACACACCAGCTGCTCCGCAGGAGAAAAATGGGCACTCCGAGAAAAACCACGGGAGGGTCCGCAGTTCTGATTTGACGGCATATAACAGAGGACACGGAACTCTATCAATATTTGCTCAGATTGGATGCAAGGGGTCAATTTTAAATACTGTACCCAGAGCACTGCTGCTAAGCGAGATCTATTCAGTTCCTCGAAGTCAGCCTCAGGGCTGATTCTGGAACTCTGCAACTGTCACAGACCAGCGCCACCTTCAGGCTCTTGGAGGGACTGCCCTCCATAAACAGAGGACCTTGGCGGGACCCTATCTCCACCTATTTACAAACAAGAAGGAGGTATTTGAACCAGTTCATTCCATTTTTATTCCCCTGATAAATTGTATTTTCACCAAAATGTTCTGTACCATGCTGTTTTTGTTGTTATGGGTCTTGTAATTTATAGCGACCCTACGTACAACAGCTCTGAAGCCTGCCCTGTACTGAGCCAGTCTCACTGCCTCTGACACACCTTTCCCCATTGTCCCAGTTATCGTGTCTATCCATCTCATCCAGGGTCTTCATCTCCTCTTCCACTCTTCCAAGCATGGTGTTCTCCAAGCATGGTCCTTCCTGGCAGCATGTCCAAGGAAGAACTTGGCTTCACTCTCTCCAGGACAGACCTGTTTGTTCTCTTGGCAGTTCATGGTTCAAGACTCTTCTCCAGCACCACAGTTCAAAGGCATCGATGATTCTTTTGTCATCCTTAGTCATTGTCCAGGTTTCTGATGCATAGCAAGTAATTGCGAAGACCATGGCCTGGATCAGGTGCACCTTAGTCTCCTTTGCACTCTAGAGAGCTCTTGACAGCAGACTTTCCTAATGCAGTTTGTCTTTTAATTTCCTGACTGCTGATGCCAAGAGTGTGGATTGTGGGGCCGAGCAAGTTGACATTGTTCACAATCTCAATCTATTCTCCATCTGTCATGGTGCTGCCAATTGGCTTACTGATTAAAATCCTTTTAATTCAAATGTGCTGGTCACAGACATTGAGTATTCAAAACCCCAGACCTATCAGTTTCTCCTGCCATCAGGATCTTCAGGCATTTGTTCTTCATGAATAAGGAGCATTCTGGAATAAAGATTTCCCCTGACAGGAATGTTCTCCAGTGAAGGAGGAGGGAGCAAGTACATCTGAGGCCAGCATGTGCCTTTACAGTGTCCAGCAATTGGACTCAGCCTGGAGCCTTGCTTTCCCTTTTCAGTCCCAGTCATGCTGCATCATGCCCTTTTCAGTCCCAGTTATGCTTCCCATCACTTCTCTTCAGTCTCTCCCAACCACATGAAAGCTTGAAATACTTTGAAAACTTAAAAAGTAAGCTTCTTGATGGTTAAAAAAGCATCATATGCTCTCAATTATTTCATTTTAAAAATTTGAACATTTTAGAAAAGTGAGCTCTGGTGGTCTAGTGAGTAGGGAGTTGTGCTTCCAACTCTAAAAGTGAGTGGTTTGAATCCACCAGCTGCCCCATGAGCGTTAGATAGGTATTCTCCTTCTCTGTGATTTACTCCCTTTGACAACTTCCTGACATTAAGGGGTCAGTTCTGATTTGATGATAGTTGAGTTTAGGGGAAAAAAGGTGTGTGGTTTTTTTACCCAAAAAAGAAGAGGGGAACATCAAACCAAAACCACCAAAAAGACAGTGGCTAAAAACCAAAACAAAATAAAAAACCCCAACAAAAACCAAAAAGGCCTTGTTCTTCATGGTGGTTAGTATTAATTTTTAATTTTTCTTTTATTATTGGTTTGCTTACAAAGTTTGTATACATTGTGTTTCACACTCTGTCCTTCATTCATATTGTTTCGTACAATCATTCCGATTCATTATATCTTTTTTCCCTGATTTTTTCATTAATTTTAATGAAAGTCTACAGAGACTTTGGATTTCCATTCATTCATTGTTGCAACTTTTCTCATTATACCTTATAAAATAAATCAACATTGAACTATGTGCACCCTTGTCCTGTCTTTCCAGATCCCAGCCGGATCTTTCCCATTTCCTTTGCCCACCCCATCCCCCATCCAACAAACTGTGGGACCCTGTGACTATGCCCCCCACCTATCCTTACCCCTCTGCTCCTGCCCTCCCTCCTTATATCCTCATATCTGTTTTACTAGTTATCTTCCTATTTCTACAAGTATAGTCTCCCACAGTATCTACTCTTATGGGACTGAGTTCATTCAGCCTAATGCTCTCTAGTCCCTACCAAGTTATGTAGTAATTTCCGAAATCATTGCTCGTGAGTGCTGTGTAGTATTCCGTTTGTTTTTTGTTTTGTTTTGTTTTTTTGTGCGTGTACCGTCAAATCGGATCTGACTGGTACAGGAGGAGATTGCACCTCCTTCTCCAGCAGAGCACCTGGTGGATTCGAACTGCAAACGTCTGGCATTGCAGTTGCAGCTTCTTGCCACTAGGCCACCAGAGCTCCCTAGTATTCCGTTTTGTGAATGTAAGTCGTTAGTATTTCGATGTTAGTATGTCCGTGTTTGAGACATTGTAAACGAAGGCGAGGACGTGCAGCGGTATTTGTGTAGTCCCTTGGCCAGCCTTTTCATTTAACGTTATATTCTCGGGCGTTTCTGGTTAGTGGGCCCTGGATCACTGGCTTTGTTGACCACTAGGCCTTCTTACTCTCCCTTCTCCAGAGTAAACTCCAGGAGAAGGGCCAGAACCTCGGCATTGGCCCTTCCAATCCTCCCTAAAGTAAGGCCCAGCCCGTCCAGAACATCTTCTACCCGCAGCCACCACTGGGCCCTCAGCCCTGCTCCCAGCTTCGCGCAGGTGAAGCGGGCGGTACTGAGCGCCTCTTCTCCCCACAGTCGCCCAGGACCCGGCTTTCAGTCGCGCGCCCCGCTGCGCGCAGGTGGAGCGGGCGCAGCACTGCAGCTGCGAAGCAGGATTCCACCTGAGCGGAGCCTCCGCCGCCAACAGTGTCTGCCAGGGTAAGGGCAGGGCCGCTGGCGGGGGCGCGGGAGGGAGCTCACAGCGGGTAGACATTGACGGGGGACGGTGCAGCCGGTCAGAGGCACCCCCTGAGCGAAGTCTGAGAAAGCATAGCCCACTTGATGCCTTAGGTACCTGGCTGCCTTTGTCAAGACTACACATGTAGACATAGAAGAATAAGGAAGCAGGACTGTAGAGAAAGCACTCAGAGGGGTGCAGCAGCCTCTAGATGCCAGATCATGAGCCAGTCTCCCTCATCCTAGCTTGTCTGGGCAGGAGAACCTTGAACCCCTTTCCCTTCTCCTTCACTCCTCCAGCTTAAGCTCTTTGAGAAGTGATCGGAAAGACCACGGCTTGAATCAGGCACACCTTAGACCTCAAACTGACATCACATGTCTTGGAGAAGGTGCTTCTTGGAGGCAGAGATGATAAAGCTTCGCCTCATATACTTCAGACAAGTGGCTAGGAGAGGCTGTTCCTTGGAGAGGGACCTCATGCTTGGAAAGGTGGAGGGTCAGAGAAGGAGAGGAAGACCCCCAGCCAGATGGATTGACACAGTGACTGCTGCAATGGGCTCAAATGTGTCAGAAGTGTGAGGATTACAGGGTTCAAATCTGTTGTTCATAGGTTTACTGTGGGTCATACTTGCCTCAACAGCACCTAATAACAACAGCTAACATTAAGAAGAATGGATATCCCAGAACACTTCATTATGGTCACATGAAACCTGTATCTAGCCTAAGAGGCTCTTGTCTGAACAGAGCAAGAGGACACTGCATGGTTTAAAATCAGGAAAGGTGTATGCCTTTCACCAACCTATTCAGTCTGTATGCTGAGCAAATCATTTGAGAAGCTGGGCACTATGAAGAAAAATGTGATATGAAGATCGAGGAAGACTCTTCAACAACTTAAGTTATATAAATGATACAAACTTGCTTCCTGAAAATGAGGAGGATTTGAAATGCTTGCTGTGGAAGATCAAAGCCTTCAATATGGATTACTTCTCAATGTCAAGAAAGCAAAAATCTTCATCACTGGACCAATAAGCAATGTCATGATAGCTGGAGAAAAGATTGATATTGTCAACAATTTCATCTTACTTGGATCCACAATCAGTTCTCTTGGTACCAACAGTCAGGAGATCAGGATACATATTGCTCTGGAGATCAGGATACATATTGCTCTGGATAAGTGCACTCTCAGGGACCAGTCCAAATTACTGAGGAGAAATGATGTTAGTTTGAAACTAAGGTGTGCCTAATTCAGGTCTTTTCAGTCACTTACTGTGCACCTGAGAGATGACAATGAATAAGGATGGCAGAAGAATTGATGCCTCTGAGTTGTGGTGATGGAGAAGAGTACTGAATATCCCATGGACTGCCAAAAGAACAGATATGAGCCATAATGCTCCTTGACAGCAAAGATAGTGAAGTTTGCCTCATGTATTTTGGACATGTTGCTAGAAGAGGCTATTCCTTGGAGAAGGAGATCATGCTCAGAAAGCTTAGTGAAAGAGGCTATGACCCTCAGTCAGATCGATTAACACAGTGACTGCAGCAATGGGCTCCAGTATAGCAGAGATGATGAGGATGGCACAGGAGAGGACAGGTTTTAGGGCTATTGTTCAGAGAGCCACTATGCTCTATTATCTGTACTGCTCAGCCTGATCTGCTGGTCTTTGAAATGTCTCTCCAAATTCATAGAGGCCACCTCTGGTCTATTAGTCCCTGTGACCTCATCTCCTGCTTATTTCTCCCTTCAACCCTCTAATTTTTGGCTTGTGGGAAAGGGGAGCTCCTTTGTTCTGCTAGAGTAAGCTCCATCAAGCCCACTCATCTGGGCACAGCTGCAATATCCCAGTGCTGTTCTTCTGGCTCATAGGTGGCTCTTTGCCTGCTGCAAGGGCCCTGGCATTACAGCAGGTACTTCTGTCCCTAGATGTGAATGAGTGTGAGCTCTACAGACAAGAAGGGCGTCCACGACTCTGCATGCACGCGTGCGTGAACACCCCGGGCTCCTACCACTGTGCCTGCCCAAGTGGATACCGCACACTGGCTGATGGGAAGAGCTGTGAAGGTGAGTGCAGGGGTGACAGTGGGTAACAGGAGAGCACCTCTGTGTCCAGGTGGTCATTTGCTGCTGCCTTCACCTATCAGGACCTCAGAATGGGTGAGTGAGAAAGCCAAGCTCTCAGATATGTTTAATCTTGAAAACCACCAACTAGACAATCTCCAAAAGATCAGGCTACACGTTTGTCTGTACAAATAGGGTGCTTGACCATTCTGGCCAGTAATCTCTTCTGGTCTCATCTGGGTAACAGCTGTCAGTGTTGGGTTATGTTCTCCCACTTAGCAATGCCTTCAGATCAGGCTGAACCCCAAGGCAGAGCAGCCAGTGGTGCAATTGAGGGAAAACAGTAAGTTCTTTGCACACTGCTTGGCCCTGTGTGAACACCTCAAAGTCTGTTCCTGCTCCCAAGCAGATACGTGTGCCTCTGAAAGGGGTGGCACCTTTAAGTTATTTGTGCCATAGTATGGTGTGGCTCCACAGCAGGGGCCGTACGGGAGAGCTGGCTGAGGACAATTTGGTGCAAGGGAGGGGAGGTACCCAGGTATTGAGGGGAAAGTCGTCCGCAGCCCTGGGTTAGAGAGGTGTGGTCAGAGCTAGGAAAGAGAGACCCTTGAAAGAGCTGTGCCAAGGAAAACGCAGCCCCTTGAAGGCACAGCCAGGCAGGCATCCCAACCCTTTCTTCAGGCCTCCCAGTGCCAAACCTAACTGGAAGACAGAGGGCCCAGAAGCCAAGAGAGAAAGTCCAGAGCACATAACCTCCCCAAGAACAGAGCAGAGCATAGAGGAGTCTGGAGAGGTTTGCAGACTCGCTGACTGGTAGGAATGAAAGGCTAAAGTAAAAAGAGCTCACCAGCAGCCGCCATCCTCACCAGCACACAAGTCCCGCTGACACTGGTCACAATAATGTTGTTTCTGGGCATCAAAGGGGTCCTTTTTCCACAGCCACTACACCAGATTTAGGACTGAGGCAGAACTGCTGTATCCATATACTTTATTTGAGATCAAGACGACAGTGACAATTCTCCAAGACTGCCTTGCTTCTCAAGGCCAATGGCAGTTTCTTAAGCAGTCAGCAATTGATCTGCTTAATGTATCCTGGGTTTGAAGCCACAAGGCTTCTCCATCCAGGAGAACAATTTACATGCAGTTTCCAGGAAACAAAAATGTAAAGATATTGTTCACTTAAGGCTGAAAAAAAATAGTATTCAGAAGACAAATGCTAACTCAGGAAATGCATCTCCCTTCCTTGAGGCTAAACAAATGGCATCTTCTATCTCTGCATGGGATACTTTCTTCCAAATAGTAGCATTGGTCCAGGATATCAGACAGGGCCACATAAGTCTGGAGTTTTGACTGTCATTTACATTTGGCTTAGTTATTTTTTATGACTATAGAATTGTCACTGACTGGAAGAGATCTAATTTGTTCCCATTCCAAAGAAAGGTGACTCAACAGAATGAGGAAATTATCAAACAATATCATTAATATCACATGCAAGCAATATTCTGCTGAAAATTATCCAAAAATTATTGGAACATCACTTCAACAGAGAACTGCCAGATGTGCAGGCTGGGTTTAGAAGAGGCCATGGTACTAGAAATGTTATAGGTAATGTTAGATGAATCTTGGCAGAAAGCAGGAGTACCAGAGGAATGTCTGTGTTTCATTGATTATGCAGAGGCATTTAACTGTGTGGATCATAACAAACTGTGGCTGACTCTGAGAAGAATGAGAATCCCACAACACTTGATTGTGCTAATGCAAAATCTATACTTGGACCAAGAGGCAGTCGTCAGAACAGAGCAAGGACATGCTGCGTGGTTCAAAATTGGGAAGGGTTTATGCCAGGGATGGGTCCTGTCTTCATACCTTTTCAACCTGTATGCAGAACAGATTATCTGGGAGGCTGGGCTCTATGAGAAGTGTGGCGTCAGGATTGGTGGAAGATCTATCAACAATCTGTGTTATGCAGATGACACAACACTGCTTGCTGAAACTGAGTATCTAAAGCACTTGCTGCAGAGGGTCAAGAACTACAACCTTCAGTATGGATTAAGGCTCAATATCAAGAAGACAAAGATTCTCACCACTGGACCAATTGGCAGCATCAGGACGGATGAGGAAGAGATTGAGATTGTTAACAACTTTAGTTTCCTTGGCTCCACATTCAACACTCTTGGCACCAGCAGCCACGAAATTAAAAAATGTATTGCGATGGGAAAGTCTGCTGTTAGGGACCTCTCCAAAGTATTGTAAAGCAATGGTGTCACCCTGGAGACTAAGGTGCATCTGATACAGGCCATGGTCTTTGCAATCACTTGTTATGCATCGGAGAGTTGGACAATGACTAGGGAGGATAGAAGGAGAATTGATGCCTTTGAGCTGTGGTGCTGGAGAAGAGTATTGAGGGTACCTCAGACTACTAAGAAAACAAACAGATTCATCCTGGAGAGGGTTAAACTGGGCGGCTCCTTGGAGGCAAATATCCTGAGGCTTCGTCTGACATACTTTGGACATGTTGTAAGGAGAGACAGGTCCTTGGAAAGGGGCATCATGCTTGGGAGGGTGGAGGGATGGCCCAGAAGGGGAAGACCCTCTCTATAAGGTGGATTGATTCAGTGACTGGGGTAATCGGGATGGGTTTATCGGAGGCAGTGTGACTGGCACAGGATAGAGCAGGGCTTAGGGGTGTTGTATATAGGGTCACTATGAGTTGCAAGTCACTCGACGTCACATAACAACAACAACATACTTGAACCTGGAGACAGTCATCATACATAACAAGGAGATACTGCATGATTCAAAATCTAGATGAGTTTATGCCAGGATGTATTCTCTCTCCAGACCTTTTCAATCTATATGCAGAACAGATCATCCAGAAGGCTGGGCTATAGAAGAAGGAATGCAGCATCAGGACTGGAGGAAGATTTATCAGCAACCTGCATTATGCAGATGACACAACCCTGCTTGCTGAACCTGAGGAATACTTGAAGTGCTTGTTGCAGAAGGTCAAGCGCGGCAGCTTTCAATGTGGATTGAAGCTCAACGTAAAGAAAACAGATTCTCACCACTGAGCTGATTGGTAGCATCATGACAGATGATGAAGAGATTGAGATTATTAACAGCTTTAGTTTGCTTGGTTCCACAATCAACACTCTTGGTATCAGCAGCCAGGAAATCAAGAGACAAAACTGTATTAGGAAAGTCAGCTGTTGAAGGCCTCTCCAGAGTACTGAAGAGCAACAATGTCAGTCTGGAGACTAAGGTGCACCTGATCCAGGCCATAGACTTTACAATTGATTGCTATGCATCAGAGAGCTGGGCAATGACTAGGTATGATAGAAAGATAATTGATGCCTTTGAGCTGTTGAATATACCATGGACTACCAGGAGAACAAACTGGTTCATCTTAGAGATGGTGAAGCCAGGCTGCTCCTTGAAGGTAAGGATTCTGAGGCTTCATCTGACATACTATGGGCATGTTGCGAGTAGAGACTAGTCCTTGGAGAGGGACATCATGATTGGAAGGGTAGAGGGACAGAGAAAGAGAGGGAGACCATCAATGAGATGGATTGATACAGTAACTGGAGTAATAAGGATAGGTGTGTCAGAGATAGTAAAGCTGGCACAGGATAGAGCAAGGTTTAGGGCTGTTGTACATAGAGTTGCTATGAGTCACAAGCAACTCAATGGCACATAACAACAACAACAACAACATACAACATCAGAATGGTAAGGAATTGAAATGCCAACACCAATGTTCAAATCTGCTAGCTGCTCTGTGGGAGAAAAATGGGCCATTTCCTCCTCTATGATTTACTGCCTCTGAAAACCCGACAGGGTCTTCTATGGGATTGATTCTGTGTTGGTACACAGCAACAACAGAGAATTTAAAACAGAGTTTGAGGGCAAATAAATGCTAATCAGAGGATTTAATCAGTACTGCAAGCTGGAAAAACAGAATGCTTGAAATGAAACTAAAGTTTCAGATTCATATAATTGAAAGCAATCCTTAACTATATTCATTCTGTCCTTCAGTATTGTACGTTATGTTGAGTGAGCCCCCAACTCATGTTGACTTCACACAAAATGAAACTAAAGCCTTTTATCCATCCATCTTAGTCTGAAAGTTGAACTGAAATTTCAGTGTCAGAGCAACACGCAAGCCTCCACTGACAGATGGTGGCTTCACATGGGTGTATTGACTGGACACTGGCCACCGGCCACCGTACTCCTTGAGCACATTAATACCCGATCTTAGCACTTTAGCAAGATTAAAACAACTCCTTCCACTTGGCACTATTAGTCACCTGCCCAGGAAAGCATGGGTGTCTGAGGACTGCTTTAGCTAATGGCTTAGTTTGCATTTTTGTGATGTCTCTTAGCCTGTGGGTTTCTGTGCTGAAATTGAATAATGGTAATGGATTTGATTTATTAGCTAGTAGGCAGCTTCCTATTATTCCACTTCCCCGTACAACAAATGCAGATATCAATACACATAGATAATCCAAATCTCTGCATAAGGCTGAGCCAGAATGCACTTCTCTTCCTGAACGAAAAGTGGAGTCTCCTCTTGCTCCTCCCAGACTAGTCTCTGAAACCAGGCAGTGGGCCTTGCAGGCTGACTTCTGCATGAGTAGGAAGGCTTTCTGGAGAGGAATTTGATTCCTAAAGGATGAGGACTGCGGGAGAGATTCACCCAAGTAGTCCTCCCCAGACTCTGCCACACCAAGGGAAGGGAAGCTGGGTGTAGGGAAGGGTGTTCCTTGGGAGGACCTTATGGGGCCTTGGGTTTGGGTCTGTGTGGTCAAAGCTCGGGCAGATTGCACCTTCTCTCTGTGTGTGTCCTGGATTTCATATGTTGATGAGTGTGCAGCTTCCCAGCACACGTGTCCTCGGGACACTATGTGCATCAACACCAATGGAGGCTTCCAGTGCGTCAGCCCAGAGTGTCCCGAGGGCAGCAGCAACGTTAGCTAGGTGAAGACATCCCCATTGTGAGTGCAGCCAGGACTGTCCGTAGTAAAGCATCTTGAGCACACTGTGGGCTGGGCAGGATTCTCCCTGCATGTTCCTAGAATGCAGTTATTTTCTAGGAAAGATGAAAACCAGGGAACTGGGAGTCGGCTTCTCTGAGCTTCCACTCCCTCTCCTAGATGCATTTAATGGATTGTTGCTTGGGTGCAGTAAGAACTCAAGAATGTAAAGTGCTCCCTGTGACTTAGAGGATGATGGAAGTACTTTCCAAAGGGCCACTGCAGAGAAGCAGACATTGATAATGTCACGTAGATAAACCCAGCAGCCTATGAGGCAGGTACATATTATTACATCAGAGTGGACGGTGGCTAAGCATCCAAGAGCTCTCGGTCAGATTATAATTCCCACACACTGTGCCTTGTAGTGTTCTCATTTGCAGTGGTACTAGAAGGCTCAATTTCTGGTAGCTTCAGTACTATAACTGGAATTATTTTTTTTTTAAGCCCGCCCCCCTATAATTGGAATTATTATTTTTTTAAGGTAGATAATGGATGGTGGGACTTCTAAAGGGAAATAAATACAATTTTCACAATATATGTATGATGCTTGGGAGGGTGGAGGGACAGCACAGGAGAGGAAGAACCTCAGTGAGAGGGATTGATTCAGTGACTGGAATAATGGGGGTAAGTGTGTCAGACAGTGAGATTGGCACAGGATAGAGCAGGGTTTAGGGCTGTTGTACATGGGGTCGCTATGAGTTGCAGGTGACTCAACAGCACATAACAACAACAGCACTACCTTTAGAATCCAGAGACACAGTCTCCCAGCTTATATACTTGGCTTGTATTTGGACTCTAGAGTAGAGAGACAGTCAGTCCTGAGGAATAACAGTTCCTGTGACAGTAAAGATACCAGAACCTTCTCAGGGATCCCTCACTGTGAAACATCAGACCTAAATAACGTAGTCGGCTGTTGTCGGGTGTATCCAGTAAGTGCCGGCTCACAGCAACACTAAAGAATGACAGGTCAAACCCTTGCCTTTATTCTGCACCGTCCTCATAATCTCTGTGGAGTCCATCGCAGCAGTCACTATGTCGTCATTTGGAAAGGTCACCAGTGTGGAGCCACACATTCCAGGCTCTTGTCTGATAAACTGGTGGGGTCCCACAGCTATTGAGTGAGGTCTCCCAGCACACAGGGACAGCATGCTTTGTCCACCATCGCTGTCTATTCTATCATGGCTTTATTTCTGTAAAGACTATAGGAGTGAATACATACTAGATACATACTCACCTTTAAGTTTTCATAAATCTCCACAAGAGCCTAGAAACAGTGGGGCCACCTGAGTGGGAGGAACACTCAGCAACAGAAACAGCATCCCTTCCCTGGCTAAGTCAGACTCTACCTACTCATGCTGAGGCTCTTGCCATGAGGGGACAGATGGGGAAGGATATCCGTGTGGCCCTGTGAGGGGAGATGGAGTAGGCAAGCCAGGGCAGAACAGTTCCTTCTGAGTTTCCTCATGGCCAGCACCCTCTCTTTTTGCCTCAATTTCAGTCAGTGTGAGTGAAACCCCTGCCCCATGGACAGCAGACCCTGTCGCCATTTGCCCAAGACCATCTCCTTCCATTACCTCTCTCTGCCTTCCAACTTGAAGACACCCATCACACTCTTTCGCATGGCCACGGCCTCACCGCCTGGCCGGCCAGGGCCCAACAGCCTGCGGTTTGGGATTGTGGGTGGAAACAGCCGTGGCCACTTTGTGATGCAGCGTTCAGACCGGCAGACGGGGGAGTTGATCCTCATACAGACTCTGGAAGGGCCTCAGACACTGGAGGTGGACGTCGACATGTCAGAATACCTGGACCGCTCCTTCCAGGCAAATCATGTGTCTAAGATCGCCATCTTTGTGTCCCCCTATGACTTTTGAGGGTGCTGTGTGGGCCCTGGGGCTGGCAATCTGCACTGCTGTCTCTTCCCCGAGAACTTGCTGTGGGTGCTGAGGACAACAGACATCTCTCCTCCTGGCCTTGCTCATGCCCACCTGCCTGCTGCCCAGGCTTCAAACGTGTGCTGTACACAGTCTATTATGGAGTGGCACAGACAAATCCCAAACTGTTGCCTTACATTTCCTTTTCTGCTTTAAGGCCTTTCTTAGACTACGCACTAACTTTCTCTGATTTTCTTCTCAGGGGATGGGCAGTTTTTCCAAATGCTGTGGGAATGACTTTGTCTGTGGGATTGGATTCCTGATATATTCGTGAGATGATTGTTAACCATCCTGTAAAGCAGTATTGTGATAACGCTGTGTTATGAAATGGTTCTGATTATGCTGAGGGTCCACCCTTTGCATGTGGTGTGGGGTGTGGAGATCAACATGTTGTCTACATCGTCCCTGTTAACATCTCCTCATGTGAAGGCCTAGTGCCACACGTAGACTCCTGCAGACCAAGGAACTAACATGGAAAGTGGAGACTCTGCTGGATCATGTCTCTTCAAAAAATCATCTCTCAAAACATAACCTGGTTCTGTAACTGAAGAAATAAAATGTGTTTTTCCTTCCTTTATACCTGACCTCTCCGTAACCCCCGGACAGTCCAGTCCCTTCTAGGTGGGGTGGCTAGCTCTCCTCCTGTCTGGTTTGGACACCCTCAAATAAGTAAGTAAGAAAGATAGCATAGAGGTGAAGTTTGGGAATATTTTACAAATAACGAATTCAAGAATTGCTAGATGGGGAGTTGGGAAGCATCTATCCAGAGAAAGTTTAAGGAGATACTCTTAATTGTCATTGATTTTTGTAGTTTCCTATTCCTGATAGAAGAGCCAGTAGGGCCTCTAGGGGGCTGAAGGAAGGGCACATTGGCTAGAGCCAAAAGTTGGGTAGAGTGGCATTTAGGAGAAAACTTGAAAGCCTGCCAAGGTGTGAGGTCACATCAGGACCCAAATACATGTTAACCTGTTGAGATATTTCATCCATTGTTTTATTTAAAAATTCTCTGTATTGCCCTGGTCTGAAATGGAAACAGAAGAACGGTGTGGCCACTTTAGTGATCAAAGCTCTAAGTCAAGACAGTGGCCAAGACCCTTATCCTTGTCCTTTTTAGTCAGATGAAGAATGAGACATGCTTTTAGGTGGTTCTGAATTTTGTCTTCTTTTCCTGTTGGGTCAGTGATTATTTCTCTAACAGAACACCTCCCCCCAAAGTCCAAACCTGTTGCTATCAAGTGGGTACATGCACGGTGATTTGTTGACAATGATCTTAAATCTCTTTTTTCTGGAAGAGTGGGCTAGATATTTTAATGTCTATTGGAATAACATGCACAACTGTCATAAGACTTGCTACGGAATTGTTTGTCTTGTAGAATTTCCAACAGTCTGTGTTTTCCTTGTGCACATTTGTGGTGTCATGTAACATGTTTCTTGTCCTACTTCATGTAAGTTCAAGATTCCTACAAATATGAGTTAGAATTATTTTATAAAGATTGTTTTATTAGTAGTGATGTTGTTGAGTACTGGGGAGTTGGAATAGACCCATAGCTGACCCTCTGGTGGGTTTTCAGAGGCAGTTAATCACACCAGAGGAGAGTGCCCATCCTTCTCCTGTGGAGTGGCTGGTAGTCTCGAACCACATTCCTTTGGGATTGCAGCACCACTTCTTGCCACTAGGCCACGAAAGCTCCCATTTGTAGTGATAGGTGCTTTCAATGGTACATAAAAATAATATGTTGTTGCCTCTTTTTGTGATGCCAGCAACCATTACATTGTCCATTCCTTCCTTAAAGGTTTCAAATAATAAAAGCTGGCTAGGATGTGAAGAGATTGGAGCTCTCATTCACTGCTGGTAGAAAAGTAATGGTGCAACCATTTTGGAAGACCGTTTGGCACTTCTTTAGAAAGTTAGAAATAAAAATATCATTTGATCCAACAATCCCACTACTAGGTATATATCCTAGAGAAACAAGAGTTATGATATGAACAGATAGAAATGTTTGTTGTGGCACTATTTGTATATCAAAGAGTTGGAAACAACCCAAGTACCCATCAATGGATGAATGCTAAAGAAAATGGTACATTCACACAATGGAGCATTGTGCATCACTAACAGGGAACTCTGATAGCCTACTGGTAAGAAGCTGTGCTGCAATCCCAAAGGCAAGTGGTTGGAATCCACCAACTGCTTTGTGGGAGAAGGATGGACAATCTCCTCCTGCAACTGTGTTTTGTTTTGTTTTTTTTTATTGTCATCAAGTCGAGCATGACTCATAGTGACACTATGAACAAAATACCTGAAGCCTTTCTTTTTTTAATAATTTCTTTTATTTTTAATTTCAATGAACATCTACAGAGATTTTGGAATTCCATTCATTCATTGTTGCACCCCTCTCCCC